CCAAAAAGTTTTTTTTTTTTTTTTTTTTTTTTTTTTTTTTTTTTTTAAATTTTAAAAAAAAAAAAAAAAAAAAAAAAAAAAAAAGACCTCATGTGAGCCTAGAACAAAACTGAACAGGAAAGTTCGGACTCTTTACTGGCCAAGAAAACTATGTCCATCACACTAGTTAAACAGTTCAACTAACCCAAACTTTGTATTTAGGATCGAAACTGAGCGACTTATGCATAAAGTACTAACTCTTTGTCCGCTAATAACTTAGGACTATTATTTACACACACGCACCGAAAAAAAGAAAAAAAAAAAAGTGTTTGAACGCAGTTGGAAGCAGTTTCTCGAAGCTTCCAAATCATATTGCTAACACAATGGCCTGCTACAAATCCATTGTTCAGTCACTGAGCCAAAGTCCAACATTAAAGTCTAGTTCCCTGCAGCCTTTTTTTGAGAAACTTTTCGTCGAGTTTGCCGCTGGATACGGGTTCGTATGACCAAGGTTTGGAACTTGAGCATCATCTAGTACAACTTGGTGGTCATCCAAATAGCGAATTTGTGTCTGGTACAACTGATTGTCAGATGATTCAGTTGCTCCACCAACTTCTTCCTTGGAATTTGACGATGCAGCCATGGAGAGATCTCGCTTGTTGAAATCCGAATTATTGAAAATGAGGTTTGCAACAGCTCTGTCAATAACATTGGTCTCCGACTCCGTCGCTTTCTTTGTCTCTGACCTGAATATGAAATTTATGTTCTGATCAAGAGGGCATGTCTGCTGATACAGCCAGGACAAGGAGACAGCAGATAATTAAGCAAATTGCATTCTAGCATGAAATATCCGCATAAAACGACACCTACTACGTTGTTTCGTGTTGATATTGCAGTGACATGATAATAGAAAAGGATGAGATTCTAAGAGTACGGCAGACCCACACAAGGACAAAGGCATAACTTCGAAGATGCAAAATGAAAAGAGACATCCACTACGACTGCACGCAGAGCACAGTTTATAGAAAATACATCGAAGCTCTCACACTCTCTATCCCTTTTATTCTATTTTCGTGTTTCAATCATGCCGGTTTGCTTACGTGAACAAGTCAGGACAACCTTGATATAATGGCTATATTGAGTCAGAAATATCCATGCAAAAAGTTGCAGAAATTATGCTGTAAGAACCGTATAAAGTACCTCGTCGTTTCATGATTAGGTGTCCATAGGGGAGGAATTCCCACGCATAGGTCTCCATCTTGGTTCTGTGTCATGTGGTGTTGTTTTGAGTTGTTTGCAAGGCGGTACAAGGCATCACGAAAGCATATTCGAGTTTTTTCCGTCAACTGGTCATATTCAATCAAAGAATTAGATAAGCGATAAATGCAATGCTTGAAATAAATCAAGCTAGGCAACATTTGTCATCTGTCCTTTTTCTTTCATAAAAAGGGGAAAAACAGAAAGGAGTTTATAAATGTTTTACCTGATTCGTCACCATTTTAAGCTCCTGCAATACAGATTCTTCAAGAGATGTCTCCTCATTCATGTGTATACTCATCCTGTTCTCCTTGGAAGGGACTGAAACTCCTAGTGATGTTCCCTGCAGACAAATTATTGGTCACTTTAACATTCACCTTGTAAATTAAGAGTGAAAACTTCAAATAAGACTTGATAAGAACAATACACATACTAATAAAGAAATTTCTTTAATCTAGCACATCAACGGGGAAAAGAGCCCTCATTTTTCAGATTTTTGAAATATTCCACTAATGAAAGTGAAAAAAAATAATCAATACTGATACGTAAAGAAAAGAAAAGATATTACAAGTGCGATGCATGTCGCTTTAACCCTCCCTTCAAAAGAGGGAAAAAAAGAGTTTTGATCCAAAACACACTATCAAACATTCCCTAAGCCCCATCTCGCATGTTTTCAATGGAAAAGAAACATTACGTAACTAAAGCCTGCATAGATATGCATGTATATACTAAATCATAAACAAATAAATAGAATAGAAAAGATAATAAATAAATAGATGGGGAGAATGGTCACACTGAAAATTCATAGCTAAGGAAGATTATCACGGCTATTTCAACTCAACATTCTGAGGAGACGGACAAAACTAAATATTATGCAGATGCTGAAAGCAAACAGAGTAGGGGAATTGCAAAAGGAAATTTATCATCAGTATCATAAACTGATCGTTGAATGTTGAATGTAACTATGAACTATATGTCAAAATCTCTGACCTGGGAAAATCAAGAAATGAAAGCACCAAATAACATACATGAACAAGGAATCTTAGAACAGTATCAGATGCGAAAGAGATCGCAAGAAAAACTGCAGACTCCCTATCCATTATATAAAACCACCAAATGCATTAAGAGTGGTACATATTCTCCATTGCTTTCTTCTATTATCTCTAGACGGATCGACACAGGTGGTCTTCAAAGAGTAACACTACCTAACAATTGACTTACAATTTTCTTGAAACAAGAAAGTGGCATCTTTCCAAAACTCCGTCTAACCATGATATACCTCAATACCATGCTCGGATTAACCCACTGAAGCAATAGACTAGAAATCGCATAAAATGGTATATGAATCAAGTTCAATCTTAATCAAACCTCAATCAAATGTTTGCTCTACCACTTGTTCTCTGTTTTAGGACTTCCTTGTCTTTTTTCTTCCCTCTTTATAATCAAAATATTTTTTATCTGGATACGCTGGAAATGAACAGACCTAAGAGCATACTGAGGGATATGCCTTGGTCAAAATATGAGCTTTACATACAGAAGGAAAATGATTCAAATCTAAGATGCAACCCATCTCTAGTGTTTTTTTTTTTTTTTTGGCTAGTTGCAACCCATCTCTACTTACGTGTATCTGTTTGACATATAACACTAATGGTCATAGATAAATAGTTGTATGCGATGCCACTTATTAAATCTCATACAACAAAATACATCAAATTGCATATCCTATTAACTAGGCCTGAAACATACAAACACGGTTAACTATAAGTTTAGCTACTCTGCTGTAGGTTCAGTAATTATGATGCTAATCCAAAAATCCTTGATTGCTGAACAAAAAGAAATAGAAAATGAAGCTCACCTTGCTTGGTGAGAAATCTTTTTGCTGCGAACTGACAAACTTTGAAGCAGTGGTATCTTCATTTTCCAAACCCAATGATGGAGAAAATACATGTGTCTGAAGATATCTTGAGCTACTCAGACACTGTGCACCACTTGAAGTATTTTCCGAATCCAAAGTCATGTCCGTCAAGAAGTTATTAGATTGCGTACCACGTTGAGATTTAGGAGAAAAGCAGAACGACTTCACTTGATTTTCAATCTCAGGAAGATCTTCAAGCAAGGAAGACCTGCATTGTTGAACGCCGGAACAGTTGAAGTCAGCAAAAAAAGAAGACATCAACACTAAAATGATCAAGTTACGTTAAGCATCTAATAAAACATGGTTATCCCGTGGCTATTGAATGGCTCTGTTGCATACTTTCTGCTCTTTGCTCTTTCTCTCCTTCCCTTTTTAGAGAAGGTGAAAAACAAAATGTTTGAATGAATGATAAGAACCGGTACGTTAAATCATCTTTAAAAACAAGACCACAAAGAACGGTACACCTTCTCAAAAGTGATGCCATAAAGATTCCAAAATGGCATCAACCTAATGAAGCAATAGAGCAATTCAATTTCCACTGAATCTCCTATGATGCTACAACTATCATCATAAGGCAATTAAGAAACTATGCAACTTCCTACAGGCATTAAATCAAGTATCTTAATCCCAGAAGTTACGCTGTACAAGAAAATGTCATCCATCTGCCTGGATCCTCCGAGATCAAGCTGATAATCAGGTCGATTGCTTGAAAGTGTGGTTCTCTGAACAGAATCATCAGACAATCTTCCACATGCACTTGAAATGCTAGAGTGACATTTATCAACAAAATCCTCCATTTCAACGTCATCGTATAAACTTCTGAAGTCGGGTTCTTCTGCAGTGAATTTTTGACGAAAAGCACTACCGCCTTTGTTATGTGACGGGTAACTTTCCATCACACCCACTCCCCATTTTGACCAACTGTCAGGTGACGGAAGCCTATCTGACAATCCGCCATCCTTCGGAACAATAAGATCATCAATTCCATTCGCAGAATACCAATCCATGAGTCCAAAGCTGTACAGAATAATTACCATATTATTAAGTTTTCATTAAAAAAAAAAAAACCTACAATATTATTAAAATGTCACAATTAAGTCAATAAGTTATATATGTAGTCATCAAGAAGTCAGCACATATGAAGAAAGCAGAATTCACAATAACACAAATGTTCGTCATGTTAATTCTGCGTCACATGATCAAATAAAGCATGCCACACGTTTACTTTGCCAACTAAGTGCAGTTTTCATTTTCTTACACCAAAAAAAAAAAAAAAAAAAAAAAAAAAAGATTAGAATCCTTCGCCACACCTTTTTTTTTTTAAATCTGGACAACAAATACAAACCTTAATCCAAAATTAATTGGGGTCGCCTATATGGATTTTTCGTTTTCAGTCTTCTCTAACACGAAACCCCCTCCTGAAGCCCTAGATCTTAAAAGTCGTGCCTAACTACGTCAGCCTAAGTAATTCTTGGTCTACCCCTCGCTCTCCTAGTACTAGGTATTTGGATGTTCTCCTAAGCACGAACAAGTGCATCTAACGATCTATGTTGTACATGCTCGTACCACCTCAGACGGTTTTTCCGCACCTTATCTTCTATTGGTGCTACACCTACTTTACTATGAATAACTTTATTCCGTATGCGATCCATCCTCGTATGGCCACTCATCCATCTTAACATACGCATCTCCACACTGGAAAAAAAAATTACTCCACCCTTCATCCATTTTTTAACAAGAAAACAAATAAATAACTAAAAAATTTTGTATCCAAGAAAGACCAATTTACCTACTTTCTCTTCGACATTCCTTATTTTTGTTAGGCTTTGTTTTGGTAACGGGGAAAAGAAAATAAAAAAGAAACAAATGCATATAACCTAGGTGTGAAAAATGGAGAAACAATAAGTGTTCTTTATCTTATTATGTTTGCTGTGAATTCCCTCTAGTAATCTCTTCGTATTGAGAGAGATTAACATCAGATTTTTTAAAGGATTTGAAATGCCTCACTAAATCTATCCCTCCACTTTTCGCTTCTAACAAACAGCCATAAGTCCCGAAATCCTTCCATTAACCCACCACCCCTCCTCCTCCTCTCACTTTTACCTCCTACCAAACAAGCTCTTAGAGGACGTTTGGTTTATAAATTCAGAACCATGATAAAGAACTATTCTCGGTTTACGTGTATTTTTTTTTTAAAGAAAATACTTAACGAGCCACGAACCATAATCCGAACAGATCCTTACTCGCACCCTTAGTAATTAGACAAGGCAATAGTTGTATTGATCACTTAACAACCTAAGTAGCATTGGTCAAACCAGGTTTATGATCTAAACAACAGAGACAGCATACCAGATGCGCACAAAAAATGTAAATTAAAAGGGACAAATAAGAAAATAGCAGTCCATCCTTTAAAAATGATAAAGAAACAAAGTAAATGATTAAATTTGTTCATCCCATGCTCTCCCAAAAACAAACAAAAAAAAATCCATCCCAAGCGATTTCAATTTCATTTGAATCCCTAACTCAACTAGTCAAAAGCAGACACAAGATCTTAGTTTTACCATTTGTTCTGAATTTGGATTTGGAAGCTTAAATTTCTTATATCAATCAAACCCCAAAAAAGAAAAGACAGATAATGAATTATCGAATCAACAAACAAAATCGACTACATGACACCAACCCAGGTCCAGTAAAACTAGAGATACTAAAAATTGAACCTATAAAAACTCTATTGAGCCAGGAAATAAAAACCAAAAAAAAAAAAGCCCCGAGTAAAAAGAAAACATACCTGGTCATCAGTTATTTGAGAAAACAAGGCAAACCCAGTTCCTGATTGAGAGAATTAAGGTTGCCCAGATGGAGAAATGCGAGATAAACAATTGAAACTCTGATGGGTTTTCTTCAGTTTGAGAGGCTGACAAGCGTTTCAGCTGCAAAAGGCCAAAAAACGAAGGCAGCTTTTGGTTTTTTGTCAGGCTGTTTAGTTTTCACACACACAATTTTTTTTCTTTCTTTTTTGTGTAATAAAATATTCTCAATTAGCGTATCATATCAAGGCAAGTTGCGGAAAACAAAACTACTGAAAAAGAGTTTTTCCGATTTTTCTACGCTGGGATTGGGAATTCGGAGTTTGTGGCTGAGAAGTGAGCGTCTCAAATTAGTGGCTGAGACTCCCCCATCTAAAACTGAAATATTATTGGCCCACGTGGCGGTATGTGGTCCCACAGATGAGGCAAAGGAAAATATGATGGGACTATATCGGTTGTGGTGCCGTAACCAAGCGAGTCTCCTCGGAGGTCTAATTACGAGAATACCCCAAGTGTTCGGAGAAAGCCTACTCATCCTAAGTGGATAACAATATGGGTAATTTCGTATTTTAACTCCGACACGTGGAGCGCTTTGGAAGGCTCAAGTATCAATATCGTATCGAGACAGATCTTCTTGACTTTGAGAGCCACGTGGCGCAACGGGCTTGTAGCTGCGCGACACGTTGACCTGAATGCAGTCATGGAAGATGGCAATACACAGATGTCAATAAACTTGTGGCTTGTAATCAAAGTGAATATGAATCAAAATAGACATTTAGCATAGATAAGATTTAGAAGGTGTTTGGTATACGGTAATCTTAAAGATGAGAATGAGAATCTGTAATATTATCATATTTGGTATAAGAACTATAATATTTAAATTTTTAAGAAAGTGATTATTATGGGATTCACTTTCTCTCATTTTAAGGTAATTTGAATACCACCCAACATGATGTTATTTAAATTCTCAAAAATTTTAAAATCATGTGAATCTTATTATAATAATAATAATTATAATAATAATAATAATAATAATAATAATTATTATTATTATTATTATTATTATATTTATAATAATATTATTATTATATTTATTAATATTATTATTATATTTAATAATATTAATATTAATAATAA